AGAGGAAATGAAGTGAAAAATGAGATAAATCAATAGAACGACACAAGTGCTGTTAAACGGCACTTGTGTCGTTTTGTCAATAAGCACGAGTTTGAGCTGTCACGAGCCTTCCGAGCCCCTGTATTCGAGAAGTTGAACTCATTTAAGTCGCGAGATGGACATGTAGCTCACATAATTTGGGAGATACCCTCATTACTTTGGTTTTATAATGAATGTGGATGGTGACTTGTGATTTCAGTGAAATCCATGCCAATTCCCCATTATCCGATACGTAATCAATAATTCTGACTTTTTTTAAGTTAGGAGGTCCGATCTTTGAGGTCGACGCAGAGGAAATGAAGTGAAAAATGAGATAAATCAATAGAACGACACAAGTGCTGTTAAACGGCACTTGTGTCGTTCTGTTAATAAACACGAGTTTGAGCAGTCACGAGCCTTTCGGGCCCCTGTATTCGAGAACTTGAACTTATTTGAGTCGCGAGATCGACATGTCGCTCACATAATTTGGGAGATACCCTCATTACTTTGATTTTCTAACGAATGTGGATGATTACTTCTGATTTCACCAAAATCCATGCCAATTCTCTCATTATCCGTCATATAATCAATAATTCTGACTTTCTTAAGTTAGGAGGTCTGATCTTTGATGTCGATGTGCGGATGAAATGAAGGGAAAAATGAGATAAATCGACAGAACGACACAAGTGCCGTTAAACGGCACTTGTGTCGTTCTGTCAATAAACACGAGTTTGAGTAGCCACGAGCCTTCCAGACCCCTATATTCGAGAAGTTGAACTCATACGAGTGGCGAGATGTACATGTTGCTCACATAATTTAGGAGATACCCTCATTACTTTAGTTTTCTAATGAATGTGGATGGTGACTTGTGATTTCACCAACACGATATCTACAATCTATGCCAATTCTTCTATTATTTGTTACGTAATTAATAATTTTGACTTTCTTAAGTTAGGAGGCCCGATCCTTAAGGTCGACGCGGTGAAAATAAAGCGAAAAATAGGAGAAACCAACAGAACAACATAGATACCATTAAACGTCACTTGTGTCGTTCTGTCGATAAACACGAGTATGAGCAGTCACACGCCTTCCAGACCTCGATATTCCATAATTTGAACTCATGTAATTTGCGAAATGGACATGCCACTCACATAATTTGAAAGATACTCTCATTGCTTGGACAACATGAAAAATGAGAATAACACTAGTGATGTTACTGTTATGAAAACAGCACAAGTATCGTTACTTATGTAAACACGATACGAATAATTGATAACTTGTATATTTAAAAATAAATTGTTACTAGATCAATGATATTTAATATCTAAACATCATTTCTATATTTTTTAAGTAAAATACTCGAAATGGTACCGTGATATTTTGTTATAACAAAAAATAAATATCTATCATTATGACTTCATCGATTCAAGTATATATTAAAATAATATGAAAATAGTTACAATATTTAAATTATCAAAGTAACCACAATATATTATCAATAAGAGACAGATCATAACAGATAATGGTTGTACTATCACTTTACATGGAGGATAATGACTGTAGTGTCGTTCTACACTACAGATAACGACTGGACTGTCGTTTTCAATCGTTATCGTCCAATAGTTGCGGACGATACAAATTTACACCAAATGAGAAAATAAAATCAATTAAAATATCATTTTATACTATATTAAACAATAAAAGTACCAATGTAAATGAGATTTCTAAAAATACCTTTCTTTTTTCTTTAAATATAGTGGAAATCTCAATGTAGATAATATAAATAATAAAATTCTTGTTCAAATGCTCACAATGTTGGAGAAGATAGAAGAAAAATACAATGAACATCAAGATTTTAGGGAAGAAATCACAGGGAAAACAGGTTAATGCATTTTGTAGATGAATTGAGGGATTTAATTGGATTGAAATGGGTATTTGGGTATTTTCCATGATGAGGGTATTTTAGATATTTGACATTATTTGTTTATTGTATTTTATAAATGAAGGACATTTGACCAAGAAACATTGAAGGAAGGTTATTTTATCAAAATCATTGTTTGACTAGGCTTTTTTTATCAAATCCCCCTTAAATTAAATAGTATTAAACAAGAAACATATGATTAATTGTCATACTATTTAATTATGATCGAATACAATATACGAGCAACCGTATAAATGTGAAAAGAGGAGTTTCTGAAAGTTTTTATTTGCTAGCTGGGAATGAAGGATGGTACACCTTTAACTGTTGGTGGGGCTTATTCGGTTTAGGTACACTTTCCAATTTGAAGATTGCATAGCACTGTCAAGCAAGATATTCACCTTCTCATACCAAAATTTGGTTTCTTCCTCTTTAACTATTATATGTTGCAATCATAAACCAATATTTCTCTTGAGATTCCTACATTGGAATATAGCTTCAATTTCACATTCTCGTTACACTAAACCAAAAGGGTCACGCATGTTCAACTCAAATTTAGACAAATAACGAATGGAGAAAATTATGAATATTCAAATATTATTGAAAGTAACTATGCACCAATTGCAAGTTTATCTATCTTTTTATTAAATATTTTCGGAATTTGTTTGATTCCTTTTTTATTGATCGAATATCTGGATAAAGAATGAAGGAACGTTACCAATTTCACAAGTGAAGAGAAGAGTGAAATTAGCCACTCAAACTTGAGCCCGACAGAAGAGAAATCGAAGTGCAAACATACATTGGATGAAGTGAGACCATCGTAAGTATCCATTTATTTTTTCTAAATAAATTTAAAATGCTTAATTTTGTAGTAATTATTTTGTATTTTCTTTTGGGATAAAGAGGGTATTGATAAATTAGTGCAAACCAAAAGGAGAGATGCAAATGGTTCCAAATAAATGAATAAAAATACTTGTCTATTTTGTCATTTAGTGCTCGAAATATAGACACTTAAACGGCTCAAAATGTTCCGATGATTCCATTTTGATTTGGTTATATGTTATGTGGGGGCCCCAATTGGGACCATTTAATTAATAATATTTTACTTCTTCTTGGGGTCTCCGACGTCGTACTATGTACAACCGTCTAACAATATTGTCTCTACTCTCCCCGACTTCACGCGGTAAAGATAAATTATTCGTAAGGAAAAAAAAAAGAATAATATAATTTATTATACTGTTCGGCAATATTTAATTTTATTGAAGTATTAAAATATTCGATTTAACATATTGTAACATATGTTGTCAATGTATCAATTTATGCCTCATTTGATTTGAATAAAAAATAGATTTTTAGTAAATTTTGATAAAAATATAGTTGAAAAATCGATAAAAATTATGTGTCCAATAAAACATATGATTGAAAATAAATTAAGAGAAAAATGAGTTTTTAAAAAATGAGAATTAAACGTGGACTATGTTTTTATTCTACTGAGATCTAGAGTTTACCCTCAAGAGTTATTTTTATTTAAAAGTTTAAACTCCCATAACAAAGACATTATTTTTATAAATATAGAGTACGAGATTTGAATACAATTGCTTTTTATGCTTTAATATCATGTAGAATCATATTATCCAAATATTTAATGTGATACAAAAAAAAAAAGAGAATATCTAGTTATTTAAATTGTATACTTTATCACATTATGGTGTACACAATGGATTACATCCCCTCATATAGAGAGGGTCGACGAATATTTTATTATATGTGGATCTCCCTCCACGTGGAGGGAGTGTAATGCTGTGTGTACACCAATGTGTACACATAACATTATTTTAACAATCATGCTACAAGTACAGAAAATTTTGACAAAAAATACATGACGTGAAATTATTGGAAGATGAAAAAAAAATTGGTGAATCGAGTTCTACCACGTCAACATCTGTATGAATTCGATAAGAAATTCCCTTTACTTGAAACTTTTTTCTCGTTAAATTTTAGTACATATATTTTCTTTCCTATCCATTTACTACAAAGTCCGTGCATATAATCAAATAAGATAACGGATCGATTTGATCTCATATTTATCTTTTTGGTTTGTACATAAAAATGTATCCCAAACACACCTTATACCCTTTTGTTAATATAAACATGTGTTTTTAATTAATTAAACACTAATTAAGTGCAAATGCTAAATTATAGCAAATTATGCAAAATTTAGTGGCTAAAAAATCTTATTCAGTTTCACACGTAGCTTTATCACAGCCAATTCTAACGTTTGCAAATCCTTATCCCCATCCTATGATAAATTGTTTGTACCTAAAAAATTAGATATTAAAATTTCTTAAAGTAATTATTAATTTCCAATTTATGTCATCACCAATAATGCCACCTCTTTTATTGATTTGACCAGTCAAACTCTCATTGCTGACATGTCACTTTTTCAGTGGCCAGTCAAACATTTTGAAATTCCAAATGGGCTCTCCAAAGAGAAGGCCCAGTCCACTCTTTGTTCATTCACGTACTAATTGAACATTTTTTTTTTTTTTTAATGACAGAACATGTATATCTTTCTCTCTTGATTCCAAGAACGGTAACGGGCAAACAAACCCCACTTTTTTTCATTGTTTAAAATCACTTTTTTTAGAACATCGGCAATCATGGTTCTTACCAATTGGTAAACCATTTTCTAGAGAGAGTGACAAAAAAAGTTGAGAGAGAAACTAGAGGAAATTGACAGGAAGGTGTGCCGTTTTTGTTGTGCTCTTCAGAGAATCAATTTTTCTCATTCAATGGGAAAAACCCTTTAAAGAGAAATTAATCTGAAGAGAGTCAGAAAAAAGTCTCCTTTCTTCTTCTTCCTCTCTATGTCTTCTTGAGGTATTAAATTTCGTCCTTCTGTATATCTTTTTGTTCATCATTTGCTAATCATTGATTCTTGTACTGAGGTTTTTGCTATTTTTGTTCTTGTGGGGAATTTGTCTTATGGGTCATCGGTGGTTTATTTTTTCAATTTCAGGCTAGTCTTCTTTTTCTGGTTTTATACCTAATAGTCCTCCTAAAAAGTAGTTTTTCTGTTTTTTACTCTTTTTTTTGTGTGTGTGTGTGTGTGTGTTTTTTCCCCCTGAATTTGTTAGATCTTGATAGATTTTAGGATTCAATGTATGATGTTGTTTTTAATGTGACTTTTTAAATGATTTGAGAGTTGGTGAATTTTAAGAAAGAAAATGACTGGTGTGCAGCAAGCTTTAGTGGTTGCAGTTGTGAATTAATTATATTTGGTTTATATTTGTTACCTTATGTTGATTTCAAGAAAGAATTTATTTGGCCTTAAAGGGTGAAAAATGATTAAAGGATGATGTTTCAAGAACTTTTGGTGCTTTTATTTTGGTGTTATTTGAGGTATCTTTATGTATTTGCTTGAAGTAGACTAGTCTCCTTTGAATCTAATGGCTCTGTCTGTACAGGCTTTTACGGCAAGGAGAGAAAGAAAAAGTGATAGATAACTTACCATCCTTGAGCTTCCATTAATGACAAAAGAAAATCTACCGATTGACATGAATAACATTTATCTTGACTGTTGCAGTTGCCATTGGATCATTCCGTTTATCATTGATCTTTTTCTTAGTCTGATGTCTTCCTTATTTTTCAGTTTTTTTCAGCAACACTTTGATTTCGTTAGTTATCTGATTTCAGATTGATAGAAACTGGACAAGGCTGAGAATTCTCATGGGTGGGTTTGATGACCATGTTGCTATTATTGGAGATTGGATGCCTCCCAGTCCTAGTCCAAGGGCATTTTTCTCATCAATGATTGGCGACGAAGTCATGGCAAAATCAGGTACTGAATCGCATGATGAAAATAGAAACAGGTCTCTCTTTTTGGGGCCTGGGAGGCAGATTGAATCAAGAAATGTTGATCAAAAGGATGTGACACAATCCAATGTAGTTGATGATGAAACAATCAAGTCTAATGTCCCTTCGGAGCAGAAAATGAGTTCAAGTGGTGGTCTTCTGGAGAGGATGGCAGCTAGATCCGGCTTCAATGCCCCAAGGTTGAATACAGAAAGTATCAGGCAATCTGACCTTTCTCAGAACCCGGATGTTCGGTCTCCTTATCTGACAATTCCTCCTGGTCTCAGCCCAACTAGTCTTCTAGAGTCTCCTGTCTTCCTCGCTAATAATTCTCTGGTAAGCTTAGAAATTATAAACCTTCTGGTTAACTCTCGAGAGGTTTTGTCAGTATCATTATTTAGCACGCATTCAGTAGGGCTGCTCAATCCTGGTTGGTATCAAGAAAGAAACAAAATTTAAAATCATGTGGATTGTACCGAGTATTGTCCAATATTGTATACCAAACATGCACTATGTGTTGAGACTGTGCAGGACAAAAAGTAGAACCAATCCTTTTGTTGTATTTTTTCAACATAGGGAAGTGGGATAGGGGATAATTGTGTATATTGCTTAAATAACTCTTTGACATTTTTTCTCAGTAAGTGTTTTGAACACGGTAGTAATCTAAAAGTCTAAAACTTCCAATGAAAATCATTTTCTACTATATGGAACGTGTAAAAAAAGAGTGAGCCAAAAACAGCTTAGACTATGCTAAGCCTATTTTTGGTTCATGTTTGTAAACTGTTTATAAGCACTCAATCCAATTTTTATCCGCATGTTTTGAGGTAATCACAAGTACTACCTACTTTATCTTCCTCTCATTTCTATCTAATTATGATTTAGCCCTTGCTTGAGCTCCATTCTTCTCAAAACGCATTTTCTCAAAACTCATTTTCAACCACATATTCTTTAATAAAATTATATTACCCGCAAATCCAAAATTTTTCCTTAATTTTTAACCACACATTCTCCATCAATCACTATTTAAAAATGCATTCTTTCCATTAAAATGGGGCTCAAACAAGGGCTTAAACTGTTTATAAAAACTTCCCAAGCATGCTAACCTCCACATTGTCTGTTTCCACTTTGATAAGTAGTAAGATTGTTTTTCATGCTTCTAATATTACTCCGTTCTAGTATAAAATTGCAGAGGTGTCTCCATTGAATATTTTTGAAAATATGTTGAAGAATTTTATGTGGTCCATTTTGGCATTTCCGTAATTAGTTATTTACTCAACCTTAAATTCTCAATGAATAGATCGTTTTTCTGCAGGTCCAGCCATCTCCAACAACTGGGAAATTTTCATTTCTCCCGAACATGGGAAACTCAATGTTGATGACAGGCAATCCTGAAAAGGGCAAGGAGAATACCTTTGAAGATGTCATTGCCTCGTCATTTGCATTTCACCCTATCCCGGAATCTAGTTCCTCTTTTAGTTTTTGTGCAGCGAGCAAAGTAATTATAGTCTCTCTCTTTCTCTCTCTCTCTTTCTCCTTCCCTCCCCCTAAACCTATTTACAGGATTTGACAGTATAGTAAATAAGATTGTAGCTTCTTTTCTTCGTCAATGCTCTCCAGCAGTATCTATCTAGCCATTCTTATTAAATGTACCACTACGGCATGGCATGTTTTTATTTATATATATTTGCATATTCGGTTTTCCTAAGTTCTTTAAGTTTCACTTTTTGCAAAATTATAATCGGTTCATTTCTATTGCTTTTGGACCAGGTAAATCCTTCGAGTCTTTCTCAGTATTCAGAGAACTCACTTCTGCCTCGAAGTGTAGAGCCCTCGAAAGTTCACTCTCAAAATGGTACACTTTTTCAGCAGGTTAATCTCTCTAATTCATCTGCCAAGAACGCCCATGACATGTCACCCGAGCCAACGTCTTTTGGTCCTATTGGCGCTATGGAGCATTCTCCACCTTTTGATGAACCACAAGACGATGATGCTGATCGAAGAAGCAACGATGATCCCAATGTTGGCAGTGGTCTAGCTGAGGATGGTTATAATTGGAGAAAATATGGGCAGAAACAAGTAAAAGGAAGTGAATACCCTCGAAGTTATTACAAATGCACAGATCCAAATTGTCCTGTCAAGAAGAAAGTGGAACGCTCTCACGAGGGTCACATTACAGAGATAATCTACAAGGGAGCCCATAATCACCCAAAACCTCCACCGAATCGCAGATCAGCTCTTGGCTCCTTGAATGCACTTGGTGACATTCAGCATGACACAACCGAACAACCAGGAACTGGTGCTAATGGTGATCCCATCTGGTCAAACGTGCAAAAAGGAACCCCTGATTGGAAGTGGGACAATCCGGATTCAACATCAGCAGCTCTGGGCCAAGAATATGGCAACGGAACTACCTCTTTTCAGGCACAAATCGGCACTCAGTTCGAGTCCAGTGATGGTGTGCAAGCGTCTTCTGCTTTCTCAAATGATGAAGAGGAAGATGATCGAGTAACGCATGGCAGTGTATCGTTGGGTTATGAAGGTGAAGGAGATGAAACAGAGTCAAAAAGAAGGTTTGCATTTATTTGTTTAAATGATTTATTAGAAATCAATATGAATATAGCTTGATAACATTTTGACTCTCTGTGATAGGAAAATCGAAACTTACCCTTCAGATATGAGTGGAGCCACTAGAGCCATCCGGGAGCCTAGAGTTGTAGTGCAAACAACCAGTGAGGTTGACATCCTTGATGATGGTTATCGTTGGCGAAAATATGGGCAGAAGGTTGTTAAAGGAAATCCAAATCCAAGGTTAACGTCTTGTCATTTGTAAAATCATACATAAACAATATAACTATTAAGTTATTATGAAACTGGATTTATTGGGTATTCTTGATGCAGGAGTTATTACAAGTGCACAAGTACAGGCTGCGCTGTCAGGAAGCACGTCGAGAGGGCTTCGCATGACCTGAAATCGGTGATAACAACGTATGAGGGGAAACACAACCATGATGTTCCTGCAGCTCGAAACAGCAGTCATGTTAATTCTGGTGTTTCAAACACACTTCCGACCCAAGCTTCGACTGCTGCTCAGAGTCAAATACATAGGCCAGAGCCAGCTCGACTTCATAACAGCCTGGGACGGTTTGAAAGACCTTCCCTTGGTTCATTTGGCCTGCCTGGGAGGCCACAGCTTGGATCTAATCCAAACTTCGGTTTTGGAATGAATCATCCCGGACTAGCCAATCTGGCAATGGCTGGATACGGGCCCAACCAAGGCAGGTTACCGGGATATCCAATTCATCCATATTCAGGACATTCACGCCCAATGAGTAATGCGGGTTTCATGCTGCCAAAAGGAGAACCGAAAGTGGAGCCCGAGTTAGATTCTGGTTTGAATGTCTCCAATGGCTCGTCAGTGTATCATCAGATTATGAATCGATTGCCGCTCGGACCACCAATGTAAATTTTTGTCCTCTAAGAAAGTATTTGTACTTGTCTACTCTCAAAAAGTAGAGATGATAACTTATATTTAAATGGGTTTTTTTCTGGGATTGAATCTAACTCTTCATTCTTTTATTATTATTTTCTTTATGAACAATCACAGATTGGATATCATTTGATTTCATGTTCATCATACTTACATGAGGTCTATTTTACCCAAGTATACATAAACTTGCCTTTGTCTTTGTCATATGAAGCAAATTTCTTTCTTTTCTTTTTCACTAGTTTGATACCGAGAAAATTTCGACAGCTTTCTGGGATACGATTATTAATGATGAAGATGGAAGATTTTGCAGATCAACTGAAGTAAATTAATTACTGCATACAGGAAGTAACAATTATTTTGGCATTTCCACTAAAAATGTTTTCATTTTCTTCTAAATATTAATGCATTTGATCGACCTCTAACCTACTGAGTAAATTCCGTGAACAAGACAGTGTTGTACAAAGTACAATTCTATGATTTTCTCCACTTAGGAACTCGTTAACTTCCTGTGTGAGCATAATTTCTGTCACGTCATTAAGGGCCATTTGCGATAAGCTTCCCATGATCATTTTCTTTGCTCGGCTGATGCTGATTCTCTGTGATTTAATTCATCTCTGCAAAAACCCGAGAAATTAATCATGAAGATTTCCAGAACATAAACAGCAAACATATACCTCAAATCATGAAACCAGTAGAGCCACCTTAATGATTGGATTTTTCTGGCATTTTTGTTTAGGGAAAGGAAAATTGCACTGTTAGTCCTCAACTTTTTATTATAATTTCACAATTAGTCTCCGCAATGAGACCATGTCAAAATCTTCCTGACCAAAGCTATTCGTTTTTTCCAACTACGACAAGTGCTAAAAATTTGAAGTTTTGAAGTGTGGTATGGTTTCATGAGGGCCACATGATGATATAATGAAAATTTAAGATGGTTTTTATTTTTGGAGACTGATTTAAATCTTAGAATGTAATATGACTAAAAAATCACGTAACAGAAAGTAGATAAACATATCACAAACTATTTCTACTTGGTTTTCTTACAATATAGTATTATATATTTATGGTATAAATATAAAATGTGAAAGAAATAATCAAATTAGATAAAGTGCCAAAGTGGTGGGAAAT